GCGCGGGCGAGAGCGACAGAGAGAGAGAGCGGCACAACGAGGGAGGCGCAGGCGCCCCGCGCTCGATACACAGGCAGTTGTTGTTGTTGTTTGTGAAGGGAGGCGCGGCACAACAGCAACAGACGCGCCCCACGTGCTCGCCACGTGTACACGGCGCGCGGCCGCCGCGACCGGGAAAGTTTCACACAGCACATTTCTAAAAACATCGGCCAAAAAGCGTTCGCTGAAATAAGACCACCACGGCATTAAAAGGCTTAAGCAAGGCGACAGCGCCTGAATGGCCTTTGATAAATTTTAAGGTGCACTCGTTTAGTGCGATGACAAGATGAAACAGCGGAAATGATCAGCCACAATTTCAAAACTCGCTTTGCACTTGGTTTTCAGGCGCACATTTGTTTACTACAATTTCTCTGACCTCCACAAATGCGTCAGTTTGTAATTTGCACTTTGTTTAACCATACCTGGTTACGCCGGAGGACGCCGACGTACGCAAAGCTTCTGGCAAAAGTCGTCGAGGGAGTTATTTGCAATTATTTGCGGATGGCCGAGTAGAATGACAGCCCGACCGCGGGCACGGGCTGCAGGGTGCGCCGGCGGCCTTCACTGCTTCAGCACACTCTCGGGGCAGGCGGGCGCTCGGCACCGACACACACTACGACTCGCCCCAGCCAGGGTGGAGGACAGCAAGGACCACGACAACGTCGGCGGGGGTCAGAACTTCCACTGCCGTGGCTCTGGCGCCTTTTTGCAGGCGCGGCCGCCGGGCAACAAGCAGCAGCGCGATGTCGGCGACTATCTCTCCCCTCGTGGGCTCTCTGCGGTCGACGGGCAGGGGTCGGGCCCCGACGAACAGAGTCCACCGGGGTTAGCACTGACACGGACACTGACACAAGCACTGACACAGGCACTGACACGGGGTCCACGCACTGAACTCGGACATCACAGCACATCACAACACCTCGCCGACGAACGCCTGCCCCCGGACTGAGGCCGCTGAGCGCTGGCGGCGCGGGCGCGGCCGGCGCGAGCAGCGGGGCCGCGGGCGGGCAGGGCGGGGCCCCCGCGGCGGCGGCTGGCCGGCCCGTAGGGGCCTGCGGCCACAACACTCACCTGAGCTGCCAGACCTGCTGCGGGGTGCTGCACTGTCGGGGAGGTGTCGGAGGCCGCGAGCGGCCCGGGGGTCGACGTCAGCCCCACCAGGGTGGGCAGGGTGGCGGCCGTGTGCGTCGTCAGGGGCGGGCCTGCTGGCAGCGGCGACAGGCCGTGGCGACAGCGATGCGAGGCGCTCCTCTCCTCACGGCGGTTAGGTCTGTTGTGTTGTGTGTTGTTGCGGGCGCGCAGCACAGCGCAGCGCTGGCGCGCGCGACAGCAAGCGCCCGCCCCGCCCCGCGCCGGCCCCGCCACGCCCCGCCACCACCCGTTACCCCCACCACTGCTCCAGCGGGCGGGCGGCCCCGAGCGGCCAGCAATACAACAATGCAATATTTATTCAAGGGAAGGAGAAGAGAGGGACCAAGAACAACAATAACAACAACAAGGATTTCCATTGATTATTGTAGGTGGGCGGGTGGGGCGGGCCCGGCGGTCCTGGCGGGCCGGCGAGCGGCCCTGGCGGTGGTGGGGAGCGGGCCAGTCAGCTGATGCTCTCCAATCAGACTGCGCAGCCCGCCCCGCGACCACCCCCGCGCGCACCCCCCGCCTTCTCGCGCCCGACCGGCCCGAAGACACCCGAGAGCGCGCCGAAGACCCGGCGCCCGCTCCCGCACCCCCACCCCTCCTCTCCAGCCACCCCGCGGCGCTCCGGGGGGCGCTACCCCGTTCACTCGGCGGACCTGACGGACCCGACCACCTCGGCGCGGCCCGCGCTGCACCCTACTGGGCCAGACTCCGGGGTCCACTCGGAGGTGCTCGCACGGAAAATCGGCGGCGGCTAGCCTGGGCGGACAACAGATAGCCCCTTCCTGTCCAGGTGCACCACGAGTCGTGCGGTTCACGTTAGGGGTAGGACTGTTAGAACTGTGGTCGCTCAGAACCAGCTCGTCAGAAGATCTGCGCCAACCGCGTCCTATGCCGCGGGGGTCGTTTTTTGCCGTTTTCTCCCGCTCACCACGCGGGCTCCCCTCACTCACCCCAGTCGCGCCCCGCCACGCCCCTTCGCTGACCCTCCCAAGGGGCAGAGTGGCAAACTTGCCCCTTCTTAATTGGGTCATACCTCTGCATTCTTATTCCCGGCACATCACAGCTGCTCGGCGTGGCGTGGCAGGGCGCGCCTTCGCCCACCGCAGGAGCCACGTAAGTCCGCTCGGTGGGCCGCGCGGTTACGGAGCGCCGCCACCCCAGCCGAGCAGCCCTCCAAGAAGACAAATCTCGCCCTCCCCGCCCCGCCTCACTCCCGCCCCCGCGGCCCAACTTCTCGTCGTCGGCCACCTTATTTGCATGCCGGGGAATGATATTGTTGTGACGAGAGGCCCGCAGTGCACACACCGCTCGCGTCCCCCGGGGCGGGCGGGGCTACACGGCACCAGACATGCATAATCACACAAGTCCGCACGGCACTCTGATTTTCTTTCTTTCTTTTATTTAACCTTTTTTTGTGGTCTCAGAAATACGCCTCCCCAAAAAACGCAACATGTACTCGTGCTCAGTACATTGTGCTTGACAGGCTCTGATGGTCACGTAGACTTGTTCCTCGAGAAGATTGCGTCCGCGAGGGGCAAGCAGTAAAATTTCCTTCACCAAAAGAGCTGCCAATCCAATAATGTTGCTCGGCACATTGACCAAGATTATTTTTTTTTCGTGTGAGTACAATCTAATTTTTCTTGGAGACGACGACACCGAGCCAAATCCAATCGCGCTAATCACGGCCGCAACACACGGGACGCTGTGCGGGCGCCCTGCCCCCTGCCCGCCCGGCCCCGGCCTGGCCTGGCTATGCGGTTCGATTTAGGTTCGCGTGTTGGAGAATGACTCCCCCGGGTCCGCAGAGGTTCCGCGGGCTGTGGGTGTGGGTGCTGCAGAGGGTGAACACGGGGCGCTGGCACACCGCCAGGCCCGGTGCCCCCCCCCCCCCCCCTCTACCTCCCGCTCCCCGCCAGCCGATTAGTTCATCCACTGGACTTCCCCGCCGCCGCTCCTATCGCCATAGGTTGCCTCTCTCCCTCGCGGACCCTGCTGCGGGCCCCGTGACCTGAGCCTGGCGGCGGCCGACAGTCAACACATGCCGCGCGCGCGCACGCATTCTAAGCGGCTTGGCCGGGCGGCTAGAGAACACCTCGCGCGCGCGGTTGTTTCTTCCACGCAGCTGGCTTCAAAACGGGAGAAATAATGAAAGAAAAACACAGCAAACGTCGAGCAAGGGGGAAGGAGGGGAGGGTGGCACCTCTCCCCGGGGTTCATTATTCCACCGCTGCGAAAACACCAAAAAGCGTTCGCTGAAATAAGACCACCACGGCATTAAAAGGCTTAAGAAAGGCGTCAGCGCCTGTACTTTGAGAAATTTAAAGGGCCACTCC